CCCCAAAACCCCAAAACCCCAAAACCCCACCATCATATAATTCGGCTCAAAATACAAATAAAATTGATATTTAAAATTTTAAAATAAAATGTCTAAACGCAATCCTATCTCATAAAACTAGCCAATACAGCCGTACTCAAGTGGACAAGGGAATTAGACTTCTCTTGGATAGCATATGACTTCTAGCAATTCTGGAATATTTCCACCAATTGATAACTTGTAGCAGTTCAGATAATGTTTAGTAATGAGTTTGTCTAAATTTGGGGATCCTTAGACCATAAAGTAGGCGGCAGATGAAATCAGAGAACTGATGACTGAACATATAACGAATACAGACAGAATGAACGCGTTTTTATTGCTACTTTAGGAACATAATGAGCATATGAAGCCCAATCACAGGAAGGAACTCATAAAGATTTATGGGACAGCTGCAGAAATATTCGAAGAAGCTTTACTCCCATTTATGCCAAAGATTTTGACATATCTTCAAAGGAAACTGAAAGAGAATGATTCTCTGTTGCACTAAGTGATTTCAGATGCACTAGGGGCAATGGTTCATTAGGTTTTAAAAAAGATTGAGAGTCTTGACGAACTGCTGAATCAATTCAATCCAATTCTTAAGATGATATTCACAAACCTAATGACACCAAATAGACAGCTGCAGATAGGCTCTGCAATATCTCTGACTAGAGTCATTCAGAATGCTCCAGTTCTTGTCCTCTAATCCTCGCTGCCTTTTATTTCCTCAAAGATACTTGAATCGCTGTCAGCTCATACCTGCAAATGCCAAACTTAAATCCTAGAGTCTCTGATATCCTTGATTTTGGCTGTAGAAAATGAGTTCTCAAATCAATGTGCTGACTTTCTACCCTAACTGCTTGAATGCATGACGAACAGTGACTGGCAGGTAAGGAAAATGGCTATTGATGTCATCTATACTATGGCTGCTATACTTAGAGATGCTTTAGTTCCATTTAAAAATGATATACTTGAAGTATTGAATCACTCTAGAAGTGATAAGATAAAGCCAGTTAGGGAAGCTACTTTGGAGGCTATGCAAGCTGTTAAGGAAATTTAAACTGGATAGCAGCAAGTTAAATCTGAAGAAACTCCGAGTGTGAGAGGGAGGGAATCGTTCAAAAGACCTCCAACCAGCTAGAATAGAGCTGGTGCTGAAACTACTCTTGGTAAAAATACAAGTCAGAGATATCAGAGAGAAATGAGTCCAGATAACTTTTAACAATTTACAAAAAAGAATGCTCAAAGAAATGATTCTACTTAGAATATGAACAGATCTTCTAGTAGGGTGCCTGGTTAAATCACAAATAGGTCAAAAGCAGAGGATATGGCAAAGTCTGATAATGAGGGCCAAGGGACCAGAAAGAATCTCACAAGTGCAACTTAAAAGAAAATTGCCAGACAGTAGGAGGCAAATCTACCTTAGACTTCCTCGAGAATGCAGGCAATGCCTAAAACCTCAATATTTAAAGGTCCTAAAAATACTGGATTCTTCAGTAAGCAGGGAGATGATATAGAAATTCTAGAGGGCTCAAGACCTCATGAACACGAGAATGAATAAGAGACCTCCATGCAGATGCAAGATTAACAGCAAGAGGACATATCTATCAAGATTTATGAGGGCAAGAAAAGACCTCTCTACTAGGACTAATCCAGACTAGAGCATCATTTGCTCTCAAGTTAGAAGTAAAGTGACCTTAATTACAATTCAGGCAAAAAGGTATCTCCATTTAAGAAGAATTTCTTAGAGCAGTCGGAAATACTAAGCGACTAAAAGCATCGACAGTTCTCACACAACAAGAACAATGACAGTAATGTCGAGTAGATCATTGACTCCTTGCAAAGAGATAATGAAAATTAGAGTTCACCCTCGAACCACATAGATAAATCTTACTTTTCTCCAGGCTTGAATAATTAGATAAGATATCAACAGCCAAAGTAAGCATGGTAAAAGTAGAATGCTACTCCGCCTTAACAATCCATGAATAGTCATAGCTTTATTCAAGGAACTAACAATCTACCTTCAAGTTACATGCAACCCATAGGCAATTCATCACAAGATTTTATGAACTTCAATGTACCTCAGCAGCAGCCCCCATAAATTATGACTGGACTGCATTAAAACATGCCACCATTATATCAGTAGTAAATTTCTCCGTAGAATTTTTATCATCAGTAATCATACCCCTAAACTTAGATAGGCTAGCCTTCACCTTTATCTACTTCAAATGATCAGCAAATCTAATTTCTGATTTAAGAACTACAAAAAATAAACCAAGTAATTATCTTAAAATATCTTAAACTTTATAGAGTTAATCTCAAGTGATTGAGAGAATGAATGAGTATTAGAACTATTAGAAAAATGAGATATTTAGTCTCCAAGCCAGGATTGCTAAGCTCGAGGATATTGTTTAATAATAATAGCAACAAAACATTCTTAAATCATCAATTATTCAACCGTAACTAATGCAGTAGCCTCAATTAATGACTAATTATGGAACTTAGCCAATTATTGATTAGAGATAGAGTCCTATATCCAGAGGAAGATGGAATAATAACAATAATAACTAATCGAATGGTATATAAAACAATGTTTCAATGAGTCTCAATCATTAACCTAAAAGTTTATGGTAGTAAATTCAAACTTATGTACACAAAGCCTAATTAAACGAGGCTTACAAATTGATACTTCAGAATGATTTAAATGATTTAGAAGATCGTGATCTTTTGCTAATCAAGCTCATAGGTAAGACTGGAGTTTGCTTAGATAAGTTAGATGAATTTACAATAGACAACTTGCTTAATAGAATAATTAAGATCCTTTCCGAAAGAGAATTCATTGATGTTTTGCTTCCTTGGATGTCCAGTATAACACAGTATCTTAAAGATCACAAAAATTCTCATAATTAGGATAGTCCCAGCAAATAATAGCTAAGTCTAAATACATTGTCAAATCTGATTGAATGTCTTCTATTGTTACTTAATGACTAAGGCTCAAGAAACGGATTGAATGAAGTTTAGAGAGTTGAAGTCGAGCAAATCTATCTTTCCATTAGTGAAACTTTAAAAACTTAATGAGAAGAACATTAATATAACAGAGCTGGCAGGTATATATTTAAATGTTATTTATAGTAAAAAGTATTCACCTGATTCTATGAATTTGAAATGAATTCCAGATACGGGGTTTTGGGGTTTTGGGGTTTTGGGGTTTTGGGG